TATATTTTAAGAAGAATTTTGATAAACTAGTCAGGGGACTTAAAATCAAGAGCTGAAGGAGATGGGGATATGTGGCTGAAATAGAGATTAAGAGAAGCCTTCAAAAAAAAAGCAGAAAGGCTGTCATGTCAAGGATGAAGAGACAAAACTGTTCTATTACTCGGGAGTTCTGGATGAGAATCCACGGGGTGGAGACTGCAAAGAAACAGATGTTGTCTAAAAGGCAGGAAATATCTCTAGAAAAGAGAAAGCTCCTCTTCACTGCAGGACTTGGGCAGAGGCGAGACAGCTGCGTGAAGGGACCAGGACAGTGAGAGCAGCAAAAGCAGGGCCAGAAGCTCTCCTGCCAGGTTCTCAGCCCCACACGTGATGCCTCGAAAGGCTGTCACATTGTTGCAATGTGAACTTTTAGCACACCGCATCCAAGAAGAGCTAATGGGTAGAAACTTACTCAAGGAGATCCAAACTGGAAATACTGAAGTCACTGAGAAGTGGCACCATTTGCCCCCGGGGATCATGGGGACTTGAAAGCAAAGGTTGGACACCATTTTTTCTGGGCACCCTGCCTTTAGCAGGAAGTAGGACTAGAAGGCCTCCAAGTCCCTTCCAAACTTAGGATGCTATCAGGTAAGAACTGCCACCAAAATATAGTAAGAATACAAATGTCTGCAAATTGATCCAAGACTTGAAAGCCAAGGACTATTCCCAGATGCCTGGGCCAAGGAAGCCCCAAAGGCACAGGTCGAACAGGTTTCCAAGGAAACCTCATGAAGTCTTGGCCTCCTCTGAGCCAATGGCTGGGCTGGAAGAGCCCCGGGGGCCTTGTCTGTCTGCTGAAAATGCTGGTCCACTGACTGGAACGCCTAAACGTCAGCCTGCCCCTGGGCTCCTTCTCTGCCAATCCTCTGGAGCTGGAGCTGAATGGCCTCCCACATGAGAGTGGGAGGTGAGGATGAACAAGTTAGCACAGATGCTGACCCTGCCCTGAGAGACAGCAGCAGCTGAACAGGATGGACCACAGAGAACCATCTTGGGAGGGGTGGGAACAACAGTCCTCCACCATTAGCAGGAATCCCAAAACAAATTCCTAGAAGCGGCAGCATATCTCTAACCAAATATTCCAGAGGAAAGCTTGTTAGCCTTGAAGTACAAAGCCCAATGTTCAGTAAAGACGAATCCACTGGATGTATTAATCCACAAAACCTAATGAAATAACTTTTGACTTTTGAAATGCCATAACATTTTATCATAAAGTCCTCATCAACGGTTTCCCTAAAACTGTGGGAGAGGGAATTAATAACTCTCTACACTTTCCCAAACTGAAGGCAGCTTTGAGTGTTCAAATGTTGTTCACCTGATCTACATAAATTAAGATATGCAAATAAGTGGGTATTACTGGTTTCATACTGTGGATTTTTAAAGGAGTAAGCCACCAGGAGTCACCATGTGCCACTCGGGTGGTCATATAGATTTGTTTAATAAAGGAACAAACTGTGTGTTGCGAGGTGGCGCAGTGGTTAAATGCAGCACTGCAGGCTACTTCAGCTGACTGCAGTTCTGCAGTTCGGCTGTTCAAATCTCACTGGCTCAGGGTTGACTCAGCCTTCCATCCTTCCGAGGTGGGTAAAATGAGGACCTGGATTGTTGTTGGGGGCAATATGCTGACTCTGTAAA